CTCCCGATTTTCAGTATGGACAGAGCTGAAAACTGCCAGCAGTACTCATGTCAAAACCTAAATGTTAGTCTGCCTTGAAATTTCCCCCACCAGATTAATTAGTATGACCATCCTTAATCTCAGCCTCCCACAGAGTCAGGACTTGAGCAAAATTTAAACAAATTTTCTACCAGAGCATATCACAAATGGTCTCAAATCCAGCTACCAGTGGAGTCCTTGTTTCAAACTGAGACCTCCTAAGCCTGGCCCTTATTGTCTACATTTCTATTAATATTCTGGTCTCTGGAACTCTGACCAGGATGTCACATAAAGCTTGATCTAAAGCTTTCTGGGGGCTTCTTCAGCTGGCGTCTCCAAAGCTTTCCACACTTCTACAAACCATTTCCAGAGGCTTCTATGCCACACGTTTAGATAATCACAGAAAGGACTCCATTTCTCTGGTACCTAAATTTGTCTTGATGACATTCTTGAATACTAGTTTTGGGGAAAAAGAGTTTACATGGTAAGCATTAGGAAAGACACTTGACTGGCAGCATCTACAGCATCTTAGGGTGCAGAGAATATTAGTCAGAGTTCTCTAGATGGACAGATTCAATACAAAATATATGTATGGTTATACAAAGGATCATTGAGGTAGGCATATATGGTCAGAATCAGAAAAGTCCAAATGACCATCTGCTGGATCAGAGATGAAGAATCCAAAATGGCTGTCCATGTACTTGAGAGCCAGTGGATTGAGTAGTAGTGGAAGGTGAAAGCCTTGGAAGCTCACTGTACGGTCACCAATGCAAGTCTGCGTCAGAAACCTTGAGTCTGTTTTGGAGGGTGAAAGAGTCTGGACCAGGATACTGAAGGAACTATAGGACAACATTCATAGTGAAGACTGGAGTTCATAAAAAAAAAGGAAACAGTTCCTTCTCATTTCCTTTTTCTTTCTAAGTTGTGAGTCTCTTTGATGATGCTCCATATCGGGGGTCAATTGTCCCTTCTTAGTGTGCTGGCGCGCATGCTAGTCATCGACAAACACACTCTCAGAATTTACTAATTTGGTAGGAGGTTTTTACTTAGCTCAAGTTGAATACCACAATTATTGATCACACTAATATATGGAATCAGCTTAAATGTCCATTTTTTGTGGGAGAGGATTTTCCAGTACTGGGAATTGAACTCATGACCTTGCATTTGCCAGGCAGGCACTGTGCTGCTGAGCTAAATCCCCAGCTCCCTTAAATGTCTATTAATGGATGAGTAGATAGAGAAAATATAGTTTATTTACACAATGGAATACTATTCAATCTTTAAAACATGGGAAATCCTGTCATTTGCAACAACATAAGTGAAACTGAAAAAATATTATACTAAGTAAAATATAAGCCAGGCCCAGAAAAACAAACTCTGAATGACTTCAATTATATTTGAACTATAAAAAACATCAAACTCAGAGAAGTAGAAGAACACTGTTAACAGAGGCAGGAGGGAAGTTCTGAAGCTGTTGGTTCAAGGACAGAAAGTTTCAGCTAGACAGAAAGAGTAAGATTAAACACTCTACTGAAAAAAATAATGATGAAAGTTAAGAATGTATGCTTTGAATTGTTAATAAAGTAGATGTGAACGGTTCTAACCACCAAAAATGAGAAATGTATAAAGTAAAGCTCATGTTAATTAACTTGATTTAGCCATCCTATAATGTATCAATAAGTGAGAACATCATCTACATTATAAATAGATCCAATTTATATTTGCAAATTAAAAATAAGTGCACATAAATATCTTCATTTTACAGAGAAGGAAATTTGGACATAATAGTATGTATTTACAACCAGTAATCCTAAGCATTGTGTTAAACAGGCTTTTCTCAAACAAAACAACTGAAAGTCCTATATACATATATCTGTCATAGGAGTGGAAGAAACTAGAAAGTAGTCAGTTTTCAATTCAGTCCCCAGTTCTTCTCCTGCAGTCCTTACCTCATACAGACTCATTTTGTTGTTGTTGTATGGGGATGCTAAAGAGCGAGTTCATTCACCAGAGCCCTCCCAAGAGGCAGAACCAATAGCACATCCACGTCGGTGCACATGTGGTGAGGATTTATTATGACTGATCATGTCACACAGCCGTGGAGGCTGAGGAGCCCCTCAGTCTGCGCTCTGCAAAATGGAAGGTGTGTTTGCAACCTCAGCTCCAAAGCTTGAAAACCAGGAGCTCTGATGTTTGAAGGGAGACAAGGATGCAAGTCCCAGCTTATGTTCCTCTGCCTTTTTGTTCTCTTTCGGCCTCTCAGTGGGTTGCATGAAGCCCACCCTATTGGTGAGGGTGATCTTTGCTCAGTGCACTAACTCAAATGTTAACGTCTTTTAATGTCGCAGACACACTTAGAAATAAAATGTAATCAGACACGCTATGACCCCATCAAGTTGACGCACAAAACGACGCATCATCGAAATTTCTCAGAGCTTTCCCTTTCGTTTCTTCTCTTTATGACTGCCACAGTGGGAAAGATCGGGGCCTTGTTACCGTGACTGCGCCTGTGACGCAGGCTCTGGGAGCAGCCCGGAAGTCGGATTGTGCACTAACACCCGGATGCTGAAATGGCCGGGGAGGGAGTAGCTTCCGGTGACCCAGAGGACCACAGACCGTAAGGTCACCCGCAGATGCTCTAAATGTATGCTTGTGACTCTGAAACCGCACATCACCTTTGATGAAGGGCTGAGGCCTTCACATTGTGTTCTTGCCTGACAGTTATGTAAAATGCAGGCCACCAATTCTCCCGCTTGCCTGGGGTAGGTGCATACTGGGAAAAGGTGTTTAAAGTAGTAGGACAGGGTTAGTCCCATTCTCAGGAGATTAGAGAAACACGGTTTAAGCATCTTTATCCTGGGGACTCTCCCAAGAGAAAGTCTAAACTGGAGCTGAATTACTCTGCGCAGCACAGCGGGTGCTTGCTCCACTTGTCATGGCTGCCAGTGACTCCTGTGTTGCTAACTTCTCTCAGACAAGAATAGCCGAACAGATACAACACTCAGACAAGTTCAAGGCCGAACAGATACAACACTGAGTGTTCAGCCTCAGCTCATCATGGCGATTAGAAGGCAGCAATCCACAAATTTACTTCCTGCCGGTTGGAGTTACCCGGGGATCCTAAAGGTACTGACACTTGTGTACTAATGACCTGGGATGGGACTTGGATGTGGGGATTTGTTAAAGCTACCAGGTGAGTTTGATGTGTAGTCAAGGCTGAGATCTACTACCCTAGTGTTGTCTTCCAACTGCTCAGGCTCACAGTAGCATTTTCACTACATCTGCTGATGGGTGGACGTTAGCTATCTTACAACGCAGGAACCAAATCAGTGTCTGTGAAATCATTCAATCTAGTTTCTGGCAAGAGTAAGGTCTCAATAAATGCTTTTAAGTATTCGGTCCCAATATTGGTCCTTATTTGTGTGCACACAAAATGTGCATGCATGCATGTGTATGTACATGCTCCGATGGCCTGTGTATACCTGACAGTCAAACCATGAATGAATATCATCACAGGAATTTTCTAGGTAAGGGGTAATATCACGATTCAATACTTTTAATCCCTATTGTATGTAATTTTTGTAAATGTCAGTCACTCATTTTTCTACTTAAAGCTGCCCATTTTAATGGAAAAGAATGTAACTTTCTTGGGTAATTAGGTGGTGCTTTATGATTATTTTAGTAATTCATATTATTGTCTATATATGTAAGTACTAGAAAGTTTAAATATGAGAATTCAGGCATTATTCAAAGGTCAATATTTTATTTCAATGGACTTATCTTTCATTATGGAAAGTGAAAAAGTAAGGTCAATTCAAAGCTTCTACCATTTAGGTTAAAGTAGTGCTTTACTGAAGTTCTGAATGTTTTCCCTGTGAGGCAGCACTCTTGTGTATTTGATCATTTAGATCACATGGAAATGTAAGGGAAATTGTATATAGCAGGCTTCCAGCAATAGAGACATTTTTATTGATCTGCAGGTCAATATATTCAAAATTCCCCCTCCAAAAAAAAAAAAAATTCCCCCTTCAAGGCCACTTGAGGCCCACCTGAGAGACAAGGGTGCCTCACTGGCTGAGAAGTTAAAGGCTAAGCTAAAGCATTCAGCAGAGTGTGGGTGTGGGTGGTAAGTAGTGCAAAGAGAGAAAGAAGCATGTGCAAGATCTTCAGGTAAGAAAGTGCTTGACTTTTCCAGAAACTGGACAGAGACTATTGAGACAGAGTAAAATGGAAAAATGGACCATATTAGGGAATGTAGCTGGAAAGGTAGGCTCAGAGCTACATATTTCTGGAAACTTGTCCCTTCATTTTATTTCTTATAGACACCTATTAAATTCTGTTCTGCTTTTGTTCTACACAAAGGTCAACTATGTTAATAATAATCCTGCTTAACAAAATACTGCAGAGGTCAGTAGTTTAAAATACAGTCGCTGCACTTACTCTTTTCCAAACATCAGTGTGTTGGATGAGAAGTAGCTGATACGGGATAGACTTCACTCTGAGGGGCCGGTGGGAGCCAGAACTGCTCCAGGAGGCTTTGATCTTTGCTGCATCAGTTGCTGGCCCAGGGCAGTTATGTCTACAGCAAAAGGGAAAGCAAGCAAGCCCGGTGGGCAAGTACATTTGATGATTCTGTATGAATCACATCTGCTAAGGTCTCATTGGGCAAAGAAAGTCACATCATGGGCCGTACATGGAGGGTTAAGAATATAGAGTTATATAAGTTAAAGCACAGACAGAGAAAGGGGTAAGGCATTCTGATAAAAATTAATCTACCATACCCAACATATTAGAGATTTGATGATTGATTACCTTCTGTTCTCCTGGTCACCCATGTTTTCTTCCTATTAGGGTTTAACATGTCCTTTCTTACCCTTAACATTTCATCTAATCCTTATTCTTTTATGGTGCCTGAATTATTCCCTTCCTCTCTGCTAAAAACAGTAAGAACAGTAATCGTATTCATTAACTTAGGGAAAACATCTGGAGAGTTGTTTTTGTTTTTCTTCAGTTTTCATCTGAATGTTTGGCATTTTGTCAAAAGTTTTACTCTGAGAAGCTTTCAAAAGTGAGTCTAGTGAGTGGATCACTTCCTCTCCGGTTTTAATACACTAGAGCCGCTCAAATGCTACCCACGGGATGCATGCTGGGCATCACCTTGTAGCAGAAAGGACAGGATGTTTTCCTCGTAGTCCTCATCACAACAGTAAATTCCTTAATAAACCTGAACCGATTGGCCCACGTTAGAAGTCATGCAGGTCTTGTGAGAGTCTAATGTGTAAGAGAAGCTTGGTGTTATTGGAGTTGGATCATCATAGTTTCTATGACTTACTAACTATGCATGGTACATGGAATGCAGTTATTTATCATTTTGCTGAGATATTCATTTGAGTCATATGTATGCATCTCAGTGCCACAGTTTTGTTTGCTGTTTCTTGTTGCTGTTTCTAGTAAAGAATCTCGACTTTAGTGACAGTGTTTGAAAATTTGGAAAACTCCCATGTATGTGGGGATATGCCCTGTATGAAAGCGAAAGGTCTTTCTTGTTATTTTCCTCTGAAAAGGAGACTGACTATCAAGTCAGAGATCAATATTTCAAGTAAAATAAAGCAAAACACATAGATATAGTATATCTTTGGCAATATTAAGAATATATGTATACTTTTTTGTGTGTTCTTGAACTGGTTTTTCTGCACCAGCAAAGTGCTTGTAAAATTAATACATTAAAGTACTACATAAAACTTGGAGCACAATCCAGCATAAAAGGGTTCCCTGCTAAGAAGGAACTATGTGTATGGAACTAAAATCTGATAGTGAAAAGGCATGCACTATGGACTAAAGGCAGGTAGAGTCAAACAAGGGAAAAGAAAAATCAACAGAACAGGGAAAGAAATGGCCTACATGTGGCCACGAAGGCAAGCAACTAGCAAAGTCACCAAGAGGATTTAGGACAGCGTGTCACAGCTCAGCACTTTCCAGATGTACGGTAGAGAGAGAACCTTCCCCCGGATTGTGTGCTATTGGAGGGACAGGACAACATCTTCCCTGAATGTTTTGCTTTGGTTTCTGTGACACTGCTGGACTCAGCCTAGATGCTCAGTACATGCTTGATGAATGAGTGACTCAATACTGTACTAAGTGAATATACGGAAGCCCGTTGGTGGGTAACAAGCCCTCGCTTTTTAGGATAGTGTTAGAAGCAGAACTCTCTATCACTATGCAGGATGCAAAAGTTCATGGAGATCAAGGCAGATCATCCTCTTGTGGAGGGCGACAAGACACATACTATTAAAAGAAGTAGTCAAGTCCTGGGATTAAGACTACACTCCACTTGCAGATCTGAGAAACAGGTAAGAATCTTTGTAGCCAGAAAATTAGACATTAGGAGTCACAAGTTCAGCATAAGACAAGAAAGATTTCTTGCTGCATGTGAAAGTGTTGAATTCAATTGCCTTAAACATTCCCAACCAAGTACAGAGCTTGGCCCTAGGGCAGACATGAGGGTCCAGTGGCCTGAACCGAACAGAAAGAAGGGCCACTTTGTTCAGGGACTTGGGAGCTTGTTCAACTATATATTTATTCTGATACATACTAAATGTTTAAAAAATACAAAACTCAAAAAATCTGGAGTGCTATGTTGTCTGTTTTTGGTATTTTAGCACAGTGAAATTAGATGAATTCATCGGAGTAAAGGAAATATCTGTGATCTTTATACACAAATATCTAAGAACACTGTAGGAAATCTACTTATTTTACATTTTTAAAATCCATTTTCCTCACCAAAATAAATATTTTCCCCCCAGGAAAGAAATGCATGAGTATCAAATTCAAAAGTGTGTGGAAAGGACAACAAAATAAACATAAGGAAAAGAAAATATACCAATACAAATATAAATAAATTATAAAACAAGAAACAACAGATGAAAGCTCTGAACTGAGCATGAGAGTTGGTTCAGCGAGTGAAAAAGTAAAAGAACGTGAGAGCGAGGGAAGGAGGAGCAAAGGAGGTGACGGAGAGGAAGAGAAAGAGAAGGAGGTGGAGGGAGCTATTCCTTAACTAATTAAAAATATATGTGACGAGGAGGAGAAAGCACAGATGCAAGAACACATACCAAATATTTGTGTGTACTCCATGTGTATCCATTCCTGAAGTGTAAAAGGGTAAGTTTATTCTCTCAAGAAACACCTTTATCTCTTTAAAGGTGATACAACCCCCATTTGAAATACATTCTGAATTAATTCAAAAAATCAACTCAGTGCCAATCAAAATAACAACAGTAATTTTTTCATGCAAATTCAAGTTTACAAGAGTGGAAAGAAAAGTTTCAAAAAATAAGAACAATGAGGGTTCTAGATCTCGATCTTTAGGTGTTAGACATATGATAGAAAGTCAGTAATAAATATTTGGTAATAGAAATCCTAGAATAAGTATGTCATAAATAGAGCCACTACATATAGAATTTGTGGTATAATGAAAAGGATATTTGAACAAAGGAATTTGCAACAGTTTACACAGGGCCAGGGATGTAGCAGCACAGCTCCTGCCCGGCAAGCACAAGGTCATGAGTTCAATTCCCGGTACCAAAAAAAAAGAAAAAAAAAGAATGAGAAGGGAGTGGGTTTCTATTACTCTTTACAATGAAATATATAAGATGATGCAAAGATTTTAACACAAAATTATGTACCATACACTTTGTTGAAGAAAATACAGGAGAAATATTTATATCTTCTTGAAGTGAAAACTTGGGGAAAATGACACAAAACCCAGGAGTCAAAAAAAAAAGACTAATAGCTTTGGATAAAAATTAAAATTAAAATTAAAATACTTGGATCATTTAAACACAATGAATGATTTCAAAAGACAGAAACACACTAAAATAAAATATATATCCATCATATATGTAAAAATAAAGCTAATGCCCCTACAGTATATTGAGCTCTAATAAGTCCATGACAAGGGCATCAGTAACCAAAAAACATGTCAATAAGCACAGAAAGAAAAAAAATACAAATAATTTCTAAGAGTCAGAAAAACTGTTCCTTCTCAGCACTGGAGCAAGATATTATATTTTATGCATTAAAGTGGCAAATTCAAAGTATTTCATGATATACTGTGTCATTGTGAGCATGTAGGAAAGAAATTTGTACTCATTTTGCTAGGTATGCAAATCAGCAACAGCTATTTTGATGACAATTTATTATTATGAAATATAGAATGTTACATACTTCTGATTAGTATTTTCAGATGTATTTATACTACAGTATGTTCAGATATTGCAGTTATATGCTTTTTTCTGAGAGTGTTCATTGAAGCTGTTTTTGACAGCAAATAGCCACTAAAAATTCAAGAATGAGGGGCTGGGGATTTAGCTCAGCGGCAAAAGCGCCTGCCTGGCAAGCGCAAGGTCGTGAGTTCAGTTCCTGGTACCGGAGAAAAACCAAAAAAAAACAAAAAACAAAAAACAAAAAAAAAATTCAAGAATGAAAGACTGTCTGATTGTGATACGTTTGTATAAACGGGTACTATGTATATATTGATAAAGAATGATCTCCAAGACATGTTAAGGAGAAGAAAGCAGATTTTCTGACAGTTGTTTCCATTGCATACGATGATTAATTTTATGTGTTAACTTGCTTACACTACGGTATTCAGTTTTCAAACCCTAATTTTGATGCTGTTAGGAAGGCGCTTTATACATGTGATTCACATCCATATTCAGTTGATGTTAAATAAAACACATTATTTTTCATAAAGTGGGTGGGCTTCATCCATTCAAGTGAAGGCCTTTAAAATAAAACTGAGATTTTTCTGGAGAAGAATAAATTCAGCCTGAAGACTGGAACATTAATTCTTCCCTTAATTTCCAGTCTTGATGTGCCCTAAAAATTTCAAATTTTCCAGTCTCCTCCAATAATATAAGCCAGTTCTGTAAAATAAACCTTTCTCTCTCTGCATACAGACATGTTCAAACACACATACAAACACACACACACACACCCTTGTTTCTGTTTCTCAGAGCACTGACTGATAGGCTATGGTATTGCACCATTTATAAAACCTTGTTGGAGACATAATAATTGTGTATTTGGAGAAGGTCTCTGGAAGATCATTCATCAAAACAGTAGTAACAGTGGGCAGAGCCTCTGGTCCCACTCCAGGCCCTTGGAATCAGGACTTGTATTTTTTAATTTTCTTTTTTTTTAAACCTTAAAGAGTAAAAAAAACAATTTAAAAAAATTAGAAATGATACAGAGTTTCAAAATACAAGATGGCAGGAATTCACCAATGATTGTTTTATTGCATATTGTTGTCCTCAAAGCAGCTGTTCAGATTACCAGATAAAAGCATGCAGAACTGGTCGCCTAATCATTTTCAGCCCCTTATCACCCTGCTTTCCCACAGTTTCAGGGTTTTTTATTTCAGTGTGTTCAGTTTGGCCATATCCTCTCCCTTTTACTTGATCTTCACCCCTTTCCTTACTTTTTTTCTCCTGTCTGATAATGATCTTCTTCTGCTTTCTTGTCACTTTTTCATATGCCATACACTTATTAGGGAAAATGTGTAATTCAGTGGTGCCTTGAGGACTCGCATTTTAATGATTGTGGAACTGGAGAAACTCTGGCAGGGGAAGCCAGCTTGGGAGGTCCAGCTTGGAAGACAGGTTGCAACTTCTTCATCCTGGGCCCCGTGTGCTGGCTGAACTGTGCTCTCTTCTCACGCCTGGGTTCTTTCTTCCTTCCTAACCTGCCCAGTGTAATGTGCCTTGCTATTTCCCGGACCCTCTCCCTTCTTTCATGCCAACTAGTTCTGATATGCCGCCTATCAGTGAATGATCATTTCTTTTTTTAGCTCTTTTCTTTTCTTCTCTTGGGAATAAATTTTAATCGTCCAAATTCATTCTTTCTTGCCCTGTAAGATTCCTCTATTCTGAAACCCTTAAAACTCAATGGGCCAAATGCCTTATAGCTTGAGGACGCAGCTCAGGATGTATAGAACAGACACGCTATTTGGACTCGCTGATTTTCCCCATCAATTTTGGAAACTGGGTTGCCAAAACACAGGAATGGAATTTTCTGGTGGTTATGTTTGTGCTTCTTCTGTGTGTGTGATCCTTTTTTTGTTCATGCTGCATTTTAGGCAGAACTTGTCATAAATTGAATTTTTATTTAGTGAAGGAATTTATCTTTTGATACGGCAGATTTTGAAACTTTTCTGGCTTTGACACTTTGGGAGCTTTTAAAAATAGTATAATTGGCTGCAGAGGTCAGGCAAGATAAATTGATCGTACAGGAGGGAAAAATTATCCAACAGGGGCTTACCTGGTTTAGAGAAAAGCTATAGCCTAAGTAGGGAAAGAGAAAGAAATATAGAAGGATAGCCTTGGGAAAAAATCCAGCATGAATAAAACTTGCAAATGTGGCTTGTTCATACTGTCGGTAGGCTGTAGCTCTTGTAAGGTTCCCAAAGAATAAATGAGTCTGTAGCCAGCTGTAACTCAGTATGACCTTAAGCCTGTCTTCTAACGACTCCAAAGCCATTCCAACAACTCGGCATCCAAAGGGGTTTCCTGGGCTGCAGCGTGTCTCAGAGAAAGGAACGCCATTCCTTCCTTGCCGTTCCTTCAGTGCTCAGGTACATCCTGCCATGCACACCTCCCCTGTCCAAATAACCACCCTCAGCATCAAAGACCTGCCTGTGTCTGCTCGCCTGAGCATTTTCCCAGCAGTGTAGGCCTTCAGGCCCATCAAATCCTGTGTGTTTAGACAGTCCAATGCCGCCAACTTAACTGCAAGGTGGTTTCCACTGCAGGCAGAGAAGGGCTGTAGGGACTCAGCTAATGACGATTGTAGGCTATTGTCTGAACCTTTTCACTCCTACAACAAAAGCTAAATTCAAGCCTGGATGTAGGTATGGAGGCGCTCACCCAAATTATGTTTGTTGTACTAGATAAAATTATAATATTATAATCCCACTGACTTTGATATTAATGCAAAATGAAGAGGTCCTATAGCCAGATGCATGATGATAACTAACTGTTTCATTAGAAATCATTAGTGCTTCCCAGTGTTAATTCTTGGGTCATTCTAAAGCATGGAAGAACCCAGTATTCGATATATCCCTAAGGTGTGCACAAAGCCTTCCAATTGTGGTTTACAATTTTATATGTTATACTTTCATCTTTTCCTAAAATGTAATTTTAAGCAGAATCTTGACAGTTAGAACAGACAAGTAGGATCGCTATGAAATAGGCCAGATTTGTTATCTGTTAAAATTGCCTTTGTCTGTAGGGTGTGCATTGAAGCATGTGATCCTGGGGATGCGTGGAACATGATTGGCCAATCAGTGGGC